GCCTGTTGTAAGGGAGGTGCTCCAATCTGCTGAGCCGGTTGACCTACGTTAATATTTTTGTATAGCAGGAATTTTTTTAATGTTTGCTCCGCTTTTTAACATTCGAGTTTGCTCTACCTTGAAAATGCGTTCCAGACTTGACTCTCTCTCTCGTTTTTCTTTCTAGACGGAGCGAGCTCTGACGGGTAAGAAGCCCAGCAACACTGTTGTCATTGTGGATGCCAACAACTACATAAAGGGCTATCGTTATGAGCTCTACTGCACGGCCAAGTCGATGCGGCACCAGCAGGCAATCCTTCACTGCACCACTGGTCTGGATAGATGTCGTGAAATAAATGCTAAGGCATGTTCAATTTAGCATTCTGTGGACTAGGGAGTTCTCTTTTATTTTGTTCTCATCTCTACCTGTCCTTATCTGACTTCCGCAATTACTGTGTGCAGCCTAGTATAAACACCCCGTTTTTTAATCCAAGACTAACTGGCATCACCAATAAGAGTAGTACCTATATATGTGATTGTATTACTTGAAAGCAGTGAGTAGTCATGTATGTTTACTTTACGAACCGACCGGCGTCTGCTCGATTTTTATCTGCAATCATGTAAACGACCTCTTCTGAAATGTTCTGCTGTACCAATGCATTCCTTAGCAGCTACGTACCAATTGGGAGTTCAAAGGCATTTGCCTTTACTTCCCTGACCTGGCACCTTGCTGTCAAACTCTGGGGCCCCGGCAGTTCGCCACATGAACTAAGTAATTACGTTCGAAGGATATGTACACAATGCCAGGGTGAATGCAGTGACGGTTTATGGCTTTTGGAGGTGGTATATTTCTGGTGCTTCCGCTTCTCCTCCTCCCAAGACGGTACCCTTCAAGGTACTTTAGAGCGAACTTTTCCGTACTTGCGGCTGCATGGATCGGACACTTCTTGCTGCTCTCTCTACCATCACTGGCGCCTATGTGTCACGCCGTTCCAAATATCAAAAGCAATTTTTGTGATTTTGCGTCCCTTTGATCAGTGAGAGCTTTAGCGACTGTTCACTTGTGTCTCGTGAGCTTTTCCCGCATTTTAAAGCATTGGAACAAAAAATACAGATGTTTTTCCGTTTTTTGGCATTGCTGTGACATCAGGCCTGCGTTTTGGTCTCTATACATGGAAGCCAAACCGTTTGCTATTTCTGCGTTGGCAACTTCATACACTGAAGTAATCTCACGCCTTTTTGAGGAATAATTCAAGACTTACTTTATGACATTTTGGGTGTAATTAGTATAATGCCATGAGATGACATTTGAACGTCTAGCGGTATTGCATTCAGAGGGTAGTTATCTGTAGAATTTAGTTTACCGTCATTTATTTTCGAGTTTTTTCCGTTGATGGAGACTTACGCGAGGAATTCTTTGCGGTATAGTCGAAGGCATCTTTAAGCCTTTTTATGCCTTATCGATGTATTTGGTGATGTTCAAGAATCTGCCGCACACCGGAGACCTACTCAATATGCATGCCGTATGTTCTGAATAGACTCCCCTACTCAACATTTGTATTTCTACCTGGAACTTCCCAATCTTCCCGAGGCTGAGAAGGCTGTAGTTTGTGTCTTCCATCTAGTTCCTCTTCTACAATGTCCTGATGACGTTGCGTGCTTTGAGTCCTGTGGTAAACTTATCGCAAGTTAAAGCCCAGCAACTGCAATCTTCAGGCCCAGTTATTTAGGAGAAGAGAACTCATGGGAAGCGAGAGTGGTAAGAACAGTTTGTTATGTGCAGAAGGAATGGATGATAGGTAAGAGGAAGTTGACTGTCAGACGAGCGAGCAACCGCCGACCGCGGGAATCGACACAGCATTTGGAGCGGACTTTGTGTGAGTCGGTCTTGACGGGTAATTGGTCAGAGGGATTGGCTAGACGGACGGACGGGCGCAGGCGGCCAGTGCATGTATACTCTTTGGCGGTGGTGAGCCTTGGCCAATGCTTGCCTGCGCAGAGTGAGTCACCACAAACTCGTCTAGTCCTGTACAGGATGTTCGCCGATGAATTGAAACATTCGCATAGTTAGTCCTTCAGTAGCTTGAACAGGAACTGGTATAGCTTCGAAGGTCCCTTGGTCTCTGTAGGTGCCTTAACTGGTCCTAAAAAGGGGCTCGTCGAAAATGATGTGTCTTTCAAGGACCCTAAGGGGACGGACAGGGTTAGCGAGAAGCGACCTATTTGTATGTTGAGACTTACGGCCCAGCGTTGGGGGCGAGTTCGGCGAGTGTAAGTCACTTACGTGGTTATGAGAAAGAGTTTTTTTTGATTTTAGTGCCTTTTGGTAGCTAGCCGCTCCATAACTCGCAATTCTTTACCGTCGTCATAGCAACCACAGTTCCTAGAAGGCGGTCTCCACCTGGAGCCGTTATGTACACATTTCAGACCAAGGTCGACGTGGCATTCAGCCATCCTATGGGAAAATCAGTTGCATTCTTCTATGTCTCTTTATGATTTTTCGATACTGCTGGATATTTGAGGGCACCGTATTTGACGTCTGCGAACAGTTTTGTTGCAAACAATTCCGGCAAAAGTAGCTTATGTAGCCCCACTCATATACCTTTAGTCCCAGCATTTAGTCCTGAAAAAACGGTGGTTATAGAGTTTTGTGGGGTGGGGAAATAGGATAGGCAGAGAAGGAAATCTTTA